GGTCTTGTCCCCACCCATTACCAAATCAGACCATACCTTCTCTATCCCTAAGCTCCCCAGGTTGTACCTGGAGGGAGACCAAGCCACTACCGAATAGCAAATTATGAAGCCTACAATCTGCTTCCACCAGGGCATATTCCCTCCCTACTGTCCCAGGCACATGGGCCTTCAGCCCTGGTCCCTGTCCAGGTCTGCTGCTTCCTGAACCAGAAAAGCGCATCCTCCATTGCTAGAACCAAAATAGGTCTCCACAATATGCATACAGTGAAATCCTCATTGCACCGGGTGACTGGATTTGGAGATGGGGGCTGTACGGGACTAATTAAAGTTAGGTAAGACAAGCCGGGCATGGCAGTGCACACCTGTAATCCCAGCACTCGAGGAGGTAGACCAATCTCTGTGATTTCGAGGCCAGTCTGGTCTACAAGGCAAGTCCAGGAGAGCTGAGGCCACACAGAGACACCCTGTCTTGAAAAACAAAACAGTAAAATTAAGTAAGAACCTGTAAGGCTGGCACCTAGTCTAAGAGGAATGAAGCATTGACACACAGGGCAGGACACTGTAGAGGGGACCCTCAGGAGCCCAACTCTGTGATGGGGACATTGAGCTCCATCTCAGTCAGCAGCCTCCGGTGTTGTTGCCTGAGTCTCCTAGCCTGTGGATCTTTTGTCAACCCGAGACACCCTGAATCTGAAGAACTCCCCTCAGGTGTGTCAGCACATAATCCACTGGGCTCCTGGGAGGAACAAGCCTCACCTGTTCACAGAGGCTGGTGGCTCTTCCCTCTCCAAGACTTTCCTGTTGCCCATTCCTGTTCCTGCCTGGAACCTGGACAAAAGGATTAAACCATTCAGTCCCAGAAGCTCTTGAACGTCCAATGCAGGCCTGCAGTGCCTCCTCTCAGCAAGCTCATAGTAAAGTATGTGATGTGGAGGAGCCAATACAGCGACTATCGCCACTGTATGGTCCCAAGCCCTGCTCTGGGGGAGGGGCAGAGACAGTAGGACAGGCCTCTGAAAGTGTCTCTGTTCCCAGCCCTGCTGGAATTCCTGTGTCCTTGGATGATGACCCTCCTTTGTTCTCCTGGAGAAGCAATAATCAATTATGCCAGAGTGCCTGAGAGGTACGAGGATTAAAGAATGGCCGGCCAGGTTGAAAGATGTATAGACGGCAAGGCCAATCGCTCATTGCATCAATCTGACAGGCAGGTGTGTAGGCTTAAGACAGGAGGCCTTTCCGTAACAGCTGACACAGACAAGCACGTTTAACCCATTGTAATGTAATGACGGGAAGGCAGTTAAGTTGGGAATACGGCTCAGAAGCAGACTGCATTCCTAGCGTGTGCTCGGCTCTGGCTTCAGTCTCCACACTGGAAACTGTCTATCAGTGATTATTAATCCCCTAATGTGGCTAGGGCCTACATGATTTAGTCACTCAACAATACTACTAACTAGGGATCAGGTCTTCCATACATGAGGCTCTTGGGATGTACCATATCCCAGGAGACTTTGTGCTCCCAACCCCGCACACCCTCATGGTGTATTGAGGGCTGATGGGAAGAGCTCAGACCTGTGGGCTATACTGCTACAAGTAAGCTGGACACATCCAGAAGGGCTGCCTTCAGGGATGGCCCACACCTAGACCTCTACCCAGACAACTGTGAAGACCACCCTCAACCCTACTGACCCATAAACACCGGTAGGTCTCAGGGCATCCAGTGCCATCCACATGTCAACGTCCAAATGCCTCCAGATCACACTCTGCTTCCTGTCAAAGCAGCAAGGCCACAATGCCACACAGCCTGCCCAACCCAGGTAACACAGGGCACACAGCCTGTCCACAGCACCCTGGAGCTAGGGGCAGAACAGAAAACCTCAAAAATAAAATAAAATAAAATAAAATAAAATAAAATAAATAAAATAAAATAAAATAAAATAAAATAAAATAACCTTAACCGAGATACCAATGGCTCAGGCTCTATTAAGAGAGGGAACAAACCCAAGCAAAACCCATTGCATTTTGTTTTATTTTTTTCTTTACTTTGTTGCTTGGGGCGTTCTGGGTTACATTCTAAAACAAATATCCAACTCTGCTACCATGTTGATGTCCTACAATCGTGCAACGCACTGAAAGATTTCAGAGGCTCCTGAGCAACCAGTGCCAAAAGCATTACATCAGCACAGTATGACTTTCCTTTCATCTGGCCATCTTCCAGATGCTGGTGTGTGCCTGTGTGTGTGAGTGAAAGAGAGTATTTTCATTGTATAAGCCATAGAGAAAGACTGAGTGTGTGTGTGTGTGTGTGTGTGTGTGTGTATTTTCACTGTATAAGCCATAAAATTGAGGTTTCTGAAACCTTTTACCTAGTGTACTTAAAAAAAAAAGTTTCCAGAAAAATGATTGTTCCAGCTCACACATCTGAACAAGACTCATATTCATCACCCTCAACCCACCCACTCATCAACTCAACCCATTTTCCTATTCGCCCACTCCATCCACCCACCCACTCATCAATCCAACCCATCTTCCTACCCTCCCACTCATCAATCCAGTGCCTCTATCTATCCACCCACCATCAGCCACTCCCCCCTCCACCCACCTATCCCCCTACCTGCCTGCCTACTCCTTCGGCCCACAGCACTCCTCACCCACCAAGATATACTTAATTCTACAGCTGGAAAAAGTTCAAAATCCCCACACTGGCAAATTACGGCAAATTTCTGTCATCAACCATCTGACATTCTCTGTCCACCAGAGGTGAGAACGCTTTTATCCCATTATGATCAGAGCAGCACCAGCCCATGGAAGCTCCCAGGACACCCAGCTGAGGCCTGGCTCTTTCCAGCCCCTCCAGCCCAGTGAAAGCAAAAGGCTCCCCTTTAGATGTCAAAGCTGTGTTCTGGAAATGAGGAGCCTAGCTGGTTCTAACCCAGCACCAAACTCAAGAAAGCAAGAGAAAAGTACGTGTCTAAAGCTGTGAACCTCACTGTGTAAGTCGGTAAAACAGCCCCACCATTAAAAATGGCTTTCCCCCTCTGGACTTAGATGTGGTGTGCACACATTGGGCCATTGGTGGGATCTAAAGATGCGATGACGAGACTTCGTGCTCCCAAACCCACACCCTCATGGGTCCCAAGTTCCTTTGTTTACCATCTGAAAAGCCAGCATAATGGGCTACCTGCATCGCACCTGCTAAAGAGACAAGACAGGAATCACACAAGGCCCAGACTTACCTCTAAAAACTGACTCTAGAGTCTAGTGTAGATGATCTTGCCTGTAATCCCAGCACTCAGGAGGTAGAGGCAACGGATCCTTTGAGTGTGAGGCTAGCCTGATCTACATATTAAGTTCTAGGACAGCCAGAGCTATATAGTGAGACCCAGTCTCTAAAAATAGTAAACAGGGCCTGCCATCAAGCCTAATGACCTTTCTTTTTTGTTGTTGTTTGGTTTGTTGGTTTGTTTGGTTTTTGTTTTTTTTTTTTTTTTGGGGGGGGGTTGGTTTGTTTGTTTGTTTGCTTGTTTGTTTGTTTGTTTGAAATAGGGTTTCTCTGTATAATACCCAGGCTGTCCTGGACTTGCTTCGTAGACCAGGCTAGCCTTGAAATCAGAGATCCTTTAATGATCTAATTTAAATCACTCAAACTCATATGATAAGAAGCAATAAACTTCCTCTGACTTCCATTTGTGTACCATGAGACAGACACACACATAGCCTGTCTCAAAATACAAACAAAAAGTAGGAATGCTCTGAGAGAGCTAAAAAACTATTGTCTCACTTAGGTGTATTGACAGAATTCTGTTATCTTCCTCAATCTTCCCCCAGTCTGAGAGGTCATGCCTCACACCCAAGACCTGTCGGCATGTAGAACATGGTGGAAGACATACATAGTCAGTCTTCAACAGGAACAAAGCCATTCACAGTAGACAGAAAGGGAGCCACAAAAAAAATAAAAGCAAAGCAAGTGGTGGCAGACACCTGTAATCAGAACGTGGGAGACACAGGCAGAAAAAGGCCCTAAGAGCAAACCCAGCCTGGCTAGAACTAGAAAAGAGTAATGGGACTGGGGCTGAAGTTCGGTTGGTACAGCGCTTGCCCAGCCTGTGGAAAGCCCTGGGTTCCATCCCCAGCACTGTATAAAGCAGACGTGGTGGCAGATACCTATAATCCCATCACTCAGGAAGTACAATCTAAATCAGGACTTTAAGGCTATTTCCTGCCTTCTCAAAGTCATCCTCAGCTCCATGATGATGAATTTGAGTACAAGCCTAGGGTACAAGAAACCCTATCAAAAAAAAAAGTTAAACAACAGATATGTGGCTGGAGAGACAGCTCAGTAGTGAAGAGCACTTGCTGCTCTTGCAGAGGACACAAGTTCAATTCCTAACTTCCATATGGCGGCTGACAATCATCTGTAATATAACTCCAGTCCCAGGGGATCTGTCACCCTCTTTTGACTCTGGTGGGCACCAGGCAGACACACAGTGCACATATATACACGCAGGCAAAGCACTCAAATACAAAATAACTTTTTTAAAATAAAACTTAAAGCCAGGCAGGCATGGTGGCACACACCTTTAATCTCAGCACTGAGGAGGCAGAGGCAGAAGGATCTTTAAGTTGGAGGCCAGCCTGGTCTACATATCAAGTTCCAGGACAGCCAAGGCTACAGAGCAAGACAGTCTTAGAAAATGAACAATAACAGCAAATATAAAGGGTTTGCGTAAGCTAGCAGATCAGTCCTTACTGACAGTAACCCTAGAGAGAGAGAACCCAAGATGTTCTGAGTCCTAAGGCTGAGGCAGTTTCAGCCATCCATCCATCCATCCATCCATGGCTCAAGCTCCCCTGTATGGTTAAAACAAGGGCCCCAAACCAACACAGTGATGAAGATAATGGGCATCATCGCACTGAGAGCTGCTACGCAAAAAACAGCCTGCCCTTCTACAGCACAGATTATTGGGGTTTTCCGTAGTTATAACAAATTACACATAAACATATTTCAGGATTATTATTCTTTATTTGTGGTGCTGGGGCTCATGCCCAAGACCTTGCATTTGCTGGGTGACAGTTCTACATCTAAGCTATATCAGTCCAGCCCCACGGTGCTTGAGTAGAAAAATCATATATTACCTCTTTTGAATCTAGATTATAAAAGGACCCAAAATCACAATGAAAATAGCTATCCTGATGTAGAAATTAACTATGTGCATATAAAATCATATAAGGAATCTAAATGCAAGGCTTTAATGAACCAAGTAAAATACTGTATGTACACATGAGTGTAATACAGCTTAGCCATGAACAGACAATTAAGGAAACTGATTTGTTTTGAAGGGAGAAGAAGAGACAACCCAACTTTCCACCCCAAAGATCAGCAAGGGAGAAAAGCATCTTCCATCTGGTTAGTTGTGCTGGGTATAACTGCCGCCTTCCAGAGGCATTGCTTCGTACCCCAACAGACACCTACAGAAGGACCTTCAGGAGATGAAGATCGGCTATGCATGAATGCATACACCAACCCAGGGCTCCCATTTCTCTAAGTCATGACAGTTAGGGAGAATTGTTCACATTTTTTGTGGTTTTCATGGAAAAATCACTTTTACAGATGCTTTCATTAAAAAGACTCTGATCTGACAATCTTGTGAAAGAGAGCTAGTCTAGCCTCAAGTCTCCATATAAAAGCAGAGAGGTGAGTGACTTTCCGATGGTTACTGAAGCAGTAGATTCACACAGTGCACTTTTCTCTTCAGGGAGAACGGCTATGCTGTTCCTTCCAGAAATCTCACGTACTGTACCCGGGCATCAAAATGGTCAGCCGGACGGTTATATGGTGTCCACACAGGTTCTCCCACAAACAGCCGCATGGCCTTCACGTAATTCTAGAAAACAAGCCCACGTCTCATTGAACACATGTACTCATCCACATGGGAACCCCTGGAACCGTCTCACCCGCTTAGGGCTCGGCTCCACCTGACCTCTGTGCAAGTGAGCACGGCCAGGTAGTACAATCATCTGCAGCTCCTGGACTCGGCCCCATATCCTCACTCCGTCCCCTGGGCACAGCTTTCCTAGAGACCAGCCCCAGGCCCTGCTGCTGGCTGGTAAGAGAATAATTTGTAAGCACTGGTCAAAATGGGAAATGCAATTTCCATGCGGCCCTCACTTTTATCCTACAAATAAACATGCCCAGGTGAAAAATGACAAATTTATGTTACAGAACTACTGACGGCCTCAAGCAAAGTGGAAATAGGCTCATCACTAAGGACTCCCCACACAGTGGGGAAAAATCACAGTTAAATACTCAGGCTTGTCTGACCTGAGCTATGAACAACAGGCAGGGCTCTTTATGTACCCCCTCCCCCCCCACAAGCACAGCAGCAGAGCCTCCTGGGTAAAAGGAGGAAAGAACTATGACTCTTGAATATACAAACACCCTGTGGAGCAATGGTTCTCAAACTGGGTCGCAATCCCTTACGGTTCACATATCAGATCTTTACATTACAATTCATAACAGTACCAAAACTGTAGATTCCACAGTTGGGGGTCCCCACAACATGAGGAACTCTATTGAAGGGTCGAAGCATTAGGAAGGCTGAGAATCACTGCTCTAAAGGAACTATTGAAATGTAGACACCGGCACCCTTCAGGGATAGAACTGGGCCCCTAAGAAATGGAGGACACTCACTATTCATGAACACCTTGTATCCATCTCATAAGTCTTCATTTTTATCTTACTTTTTTCTTTTTCATACAGGGTCTCATCTAGCTCAGCCTATCCTCAAAACTTGGTATGTATATACCTCAGGATGACCTTGAAGTCCTAATCCTCCCGTCCAAACCTCCCAAATGCTGAAAGGACAGGCATATGCCTCCATGCTTGCTTCATAAGTCTGAATTTCAAGCTATGTGAATGTATTTACTGTTAGCCTAGAAGGCTAGAGAGATGGCTCAGTGGTTAAGGGTGCATATGCTCTTGGAGAGTGCCCAAGTTCAATCCCCAACACCCACGTCAGGTGGCCCACAATCACAACTCCAACTCCAGGTTTTCCAACCCCCTCTTCTGGATTCTGTGGGAACTTGTACTCATGTGCACATACTACAACCAACATACACATAATTTAAAAAAAAAATTATATATATATACGTACATATGTATGTGTATAAATTAAGCTGGGACAGGGATGTAGTTCAGTAGGTACATGCTCTGTCTAGCATGCACAAAGCCCTGGGCTCCATCCCCACACCACAGAAATCAGGTCTGGTGGTAAACACCTGTAATCCCAGCCCTGGGAGGTCAAGGCCGGAAGATCAGAATTTCAAAGTCATCCTCAACTACAACACAGCTAGTGCGGCATCATGGTCACCTGTGATGTCTATGCACAGACCACAGCACAGCACACTCTCACCTTCTCATCCAGCGTGAAGCGGTGATAGATGCCGGCAGGAAGCGTGATCATGTCCCCCTTCTCCATGGAAATCCGAATCCACTTGTCCTCCTTGTCCCTGACGTCGAAGTAGCCGCTGCCCTCCAGGATGTAGCGGATCTCCTCATCCAGATGCAGATGCTCCTCAAAGAACATCTTGATCTAGTGGAAGAGGGAAGCTGTGAGTCTGCTGGAGACCTGTCACGAAGCCCCAGTCCTTACAGCCAAACTAAAGTGTATGACACATGTTATTAAAAGCACCAAGAATTAAGCCAGGGAAACACTGTCGGTAAAGGCCCCTGCCACCAACACTGAGGTCTTGAATTTAATCCCCAAAACCCACACCAAAGAAGGAGCAAACTGAGACAGAGTCTCATAGAGCTCAGGCTATCCTGGAACTTGCTATATAGCTGAGATGGATGGCCTTGAACTTCTGACCCTCCTGTATTTACCTTCCAGCTCTCCTTGAGTCCTGGCCCACTCTGCCAGGAGTCCTGCTGGGTCCTCCACATTTCCAGGTGAGGTTCTTCTCCCTCACAGCTGCTGTGACACAGCACCCTCAGCGTGTGTGACCATTCTGCCATCTTCCATGCAGCAAACCATACGAGGCTCTCTGGACAGCATGCTTTCCAGGACCCACAGACCAAGCTCAAGTTCACCAGGTCTCCTCCTACCTGAGATGATTCTCCACTCTGAATAACCCTATGCTACTACTAAACTCAAATGGTCCCCAGGGAAATGGTCAGGTACCCTGAGGACACCACCCCTAAACTCAGAAAAATGTATCATCTGAACAAACAGGTCTAAGGAAGAGCCAGGTGTAGAGCTGTGAATCCCACAGAGAAAACACCAAGCCAATCCAAGCATCACTGGTGGGTCTACCACACATAAGGGATACAGCACCGCAGATTCATGGACCCCAAAAGAGCTGGAGGGACTCACGCTAGCTCAGTCTCTGAGGACAGCATCGCTCTGCCCCAATACCACACTAATCTTGTGTTAACAGGCAAGAAGGTACTGATTCTCTCTCCAAGCAGGGCCTTCTCACCTTCTCCTCATAGTTAGGAAGTGTATCTTTGCATATGGTAATGATGTCCATCCAGGAGTAGTTTCTCTCTCTCCGGATCTTTTCCAGCTCTGGATCATTCTCATACTTGTCAGCATCCAGCTACGTAAATTTAAGCAAAATGGAAGTCACCTTAGCACAAGGATGTGTAACAACTGAGCTGAAAGCAGAGCTCCCCTGTACAGTGCGTGCGTAGTAAGGCACAAGGCCCTAGGTTTGCTCCCCAGCCCTAGGTGAAGGAAGCACAGCGACATGCTCCTTCCAGACCTGGAAGCTCATGCTCCCAGCAGAGCATCATTTATCCTTTGCCAGCCTTGCACAGTACTCCACCTCCACTCCTGATGACCTTTCCATTTTCCACAATGCCAGGCGGGAGCCCCAGCTCTGCTTGAGTCCGGGCCCCTCTGTCAGCAGTGCAGCTGGCTCCTCCACATTTCAGATGAAGTCCTTCTCCCTCACAGCTGCCAAGACACATCACCCTCGGTGTGTGTGACCACTCTTGCCATGCAGCAAGCCTAGGCTCTCTGTAGTCAGCATGCTTTCAGCGCCACAGACCAAGCTCAAGTTCACGAGATGGACTGAGAGAGCTGTGGACCTGTGGCCTGGCCCCACTTGACTTTTCTGTTTCTATCTGCCCCCTCCCTCTACTACAAAAGAAATCTAGATTCTAAATTAAAAAGAACCACTAAGCACTCTGAATAATTACTGAAGACCATTGTGGCCCATGACTGTAATTTCAGCTACTTAGAACTTAGGAGAAAAGTGTGAGTTGGGAGCAAGCCATCTCAAAGAAAGAAAAATATAGCCAGGTACAGGGAGGCAGAGGCAGGTGGATTTCTGTGAGTTCAAGGCCAGCCTGATCTACAAAGTGAGTCCAGGACAGCCAAGGCTACACAGAGAAACCCTTTCTCAATAAAACCAAGAAGAAAAAAAGAAAAAAAAATACATACTCACACCCTTTCAGGGCAGGATCCCACAACTCAAATTCCTGCTCACAATTTTCATTTACCACAATCCTACCTAGCCTTTAAGACCCAAGCAAGGATGCCTTCTTCCTGACTTGATCTCCAAAGGCTCCTGGCAGAACTAATCTGAAATCCTACATGAAACTACTGGCAATGGGCTTAGTGACATTCAGTTTTCATTTTACAATGAAGTGCACATTCTATCAGGAAACAACACAGCAGTGCACAGGAATCAATCCATCTTATGCGTGTGGGTGTTCTACATGCCTAATGCCCACAGAGGCCAGAAGAGAACATGAGATCCCCTGGAACCAGAGTTACAAATAATTGTGAGCCGATGGCAACAGAACCTATGCTCTTAACTCTGAGCCATCTCTCCAGCCCTAATATTTTTTTTAGCAACCCTGCAGCATGAAAGACTTAACTCCATTTTCAGGGCTGAATGTGCTCCTTCCTCATTCCTGTGTGGAAACTTCATCACCCATAATAAAACAGAAAAAGTGTGACACCCCCCCCCACACACACACACACACTGGGAGTGAGTGGCCTTATGCACAGGGGACAGCAGTAGCTATGAACAGGCTTCCACCAAGACAGCAAAAGCACCTGCTGGGATTCCAGTTTCAACTGTGCAGCCAGGTTCTGTTGCTGACAGATTATCCAGTGTATGCACAAAGGCCTGAGTTTGACTCCTAGGCTAACGTATTGCTGACCACTGCAGGAAGGGACAAAGGCACTATTCCAAATGAAACTTCCTCACTGTGTGGGGTGAAAGGGGCCTTTATGTCACCTTGCTCTGTCCCCTTTCCCTAGCAACTTCTGCAGTGGGAGGGGAGACTAATCCCTCCACAGGAACGCTATAGGCCTTGCTGAGCAAGCCTCCCACCTCCAGCCACTGGCTGCCTTAGGTGACTTGGCTTCAGTTAACTAAAAATCACTAAATTTGGAGGTCACCGAGTGAGTGTAGGGGTCATCATGAACGCCTAGGTTACTTCTCAGAAAATGGAAGGCTGTTTCTTTTGAAACCACTCCTCAAGCCGTTGGCTGGTGTCGCATTAGCGACCTTTTGATTCAGAAGCACGAAAATGTATTCACCTCATCCTGCTATACCCATTTTCCGAGCATGAGTCCACGCAGAGCCTTGATTTCGTATATGCGCGCCTCGGATTCTTTTCCAACCACCTGCTTCCTAGCCCAAAAATATCCTAACAATACCCTTGGCGAGATGTATTTGAGCGTCGTGCCCACCTTCACGTGGCCATCCATGGGTCATTGCTTTATCCGTGGACACACCGTGTGATGAGCAGGCCTGCATGGTTTTAAGGAGCATGACTCTGCAAACGGTTCATCAAATGTTCCTCAGGCTGGGCTCGAGGCCAGCTGGTTTGCATTTCATGTTGACCATACCAATACAAACAGGTTAGGTCCACTCAGCCCTCGACCAACCCCAGGTTCACTGAGGCTTTCCCGTGTTTAAACTGCGTTACCCGTGACACTACCATGTGACTGGCCATGCGTTTGCAAACATTAGCTGTGAGCACGAGCGGGTGCCACGAAGAGAGCAGACCACACAAATCCACCGCCTTCTCTGCAGTTAGAGATTGCTGGAGGCAGCAGCCGCGCTGAGCATGCGCGGCGCCCTAAGCACCTTCTGGCGTGCGCAGGCGCGCGGTGCCCCGGCCAGCACGCATACCTTCCAATAGAGCACTCCGAGCGTGCGCAGCTGCTCCAGGCCCACCGGGCGGTCGGGCTGTGCGCGGTGGGGCATCCGCGGGTCGGCAGTGGACTCGTCCATGTACCAGGCCTGCACCATCGTGGTGGCGCCGGGTTCCACAAGCTGCGCTGGAAGAGACAAGGCTGGATCGAGCCGGAACCGTTGTAGGCGTTGCCTTGGCGGGCGGGGCGTGGGGCGGGACTGTTGGGGGTGGGGCCACCCGGGTGAAATTAAGGACCTTTAGGGTCCGGTGGACAGGAGGGCATCCTCCTCTCTTGGAGCGCCCGTTGTCGTGGCACCCACAGTCTGTGCTTGGACTTTCGGTACCAACATTCGAGCCTAGAAGATTCAGCAATTCGTAGTTCACGGGAGTGAAAGCAAATGCAGACCAAAAGCATGATTGCTAAACTGCAGCCCAAGGGGCTCAGCTGCACGTGCAGTCACACAGAGGAACCCGGTGACAGTGCGGGATGCTGCTCCCCACCCGCAGATGAAAGCATATCCACAGACGCAGCAGTTATGCGTCTGCCCTCCTTTCCTTGCTGATGCTGTGATAAAACGCTCTGACAAAGGCCTCTTTTAAGGCAAAACGGGTTTTCTTGGCTCACAATCCCAGGTTAAAGTCCATCACTGGGGGCGCAGAGATTTCAGAGCAGGAACTTGAAGCAGCCGGTCACATCCACAGCCAAGAGCAGAAAGGAATGAATACATCTGCGTTAACTAATGCTCAGCCCTCTCTCTATACTTCTTTGCCTAGGGAATAGTACCACCCACAGAGGCAGATCTTCTTGAATTAATATAATCTAGACAGTCTCCCACAGAATGCTACGGGCCCACCTGATCTAGATAATTTCTCATTAATACTCTCTTCCTAGGTGGTTATAGCTGTATTAAGGTGACAGTTAAAAATAATTATCATGGAGCTGGAAAGATAGCAGTAAAAGCACTAGTTGCTCTTTCTGAGAACCCAGCAGTCATTTGGTAGTTCACAACAATCTATAGCTCCAGTTCTGGTGGATCTGGTGGGACTGACCTCTATGGGAATATTCACTTGTGATGTGTGGGGATCAGGGGAATGCGGGGGAGGGGGGGGTGAGTGGCAACAGCCCACCAGAATCCAGAAATCAGGCTCTGGAGATCAGACTCAAGGTTCAGGTCTAACTTTGTTGCCCAGGGTAAAAGCCTTTAAACTATTGAAAGCCAATCAGACCTTCCCATACTAGCCTCAAGCACTAACAAGTTAGTGCAACTATAAGGAACTGGGTGGAGGGGTGATGTGTGGGCAAAGTCACCTTAGGAGACTTCCATACAGAAAGGGAAAGCAGTCACCATCCTAGCCTCGGATCCATTTTGAGACTTCACTAGTGTGCTAGGAGTCCCTAGTCGATCAACACTGTGTTCAGTGGATCAGGATCTTTCGAGGAGTCAATAGGAGTCCCTGACGCCTCTCTCGCCATGCCCTATGGCCCTCCAGAAGGCTTATCTCTACACTCTCCACAGTGATGCACATAATGCAGGCAAAAAAAAAAAAAGAAAAAAAAAAAAAAAGAAATGAAGCTAACCACCATGCTATTGGAAGGTGTGGTGTGTGGTACGGATTAAGGATGGGTGTTCCTTCTTCAAATAATCTGATTAAGAAAATCCCATTGAGCTAGGCACAGTGGCTCAAGACTTTAATCCCAGCGCTCAAGAGCCACAGCAGGTAGATCTCTGTGAGAGAAAGTCCAGGACAGCCAGGCCTGTTACACAGAGATACCCTGTCTTTGGCTGGAGAGTTGGCTCAGAGGTTAAGAAAACTGCTTGCTCCTCCCGAATTCCTGAGTTCAATTCCCAACAAACACATGGTGGCTCACAACCATCTATAGAGATCTGGTACCTTCTTCTGGGGTTCAGGTGCACATGCAGACAGAACATTGTATACATAATAAATCTTTTTTAAAAAAAGAAATGAAAAAGAGAAACCCTATCTTCAAAAACCAAAAAAAAAAAAAAAAAGTCCCATTGAGCCACACTCACAAGATAGAGGCAGGCAGTCTATGAGTTCAAGACCAGCCTGGTGTACCAGAGTTCTAGGACAACCAAGGCCACACAGAAAAACCTTGTCTTAAAAAACAATAAATCAACCAATAAATAAAAATACTGAGAAACTTTCAGAGCCAGAGAAATGGCTTGGTGGTTAAGAGCACTGGCTGTTCTTCCCAATGACCATGGTTCAATTCCCAGCACCCACATGGCAACTCACAACTGTCTATAACTGCAGTTCCAGGCCTTCTGACATCCCCATACAGACATACATGCAGACAAAACACCAAGGCACATGAAATAAAAATTAAAAAATGTCCCATTGCTAGGGCTTAGACTTCATAATATGATGCGCTAGCTAACTCATGATCTGTGCAATGGGCAAGGGTGTGGTAAAGAGGTAAGGATGGCAAATGTCTGTCATCTCTGGAGCACACAAGATCTTCACAAATGGAGAGGTTTATGGAATAATGCCTCTTGATAGATATAGTGGCCGGTTTTGTGTGTTAACTCGACACAAGTTAGAGTCATCAGAGAGGAAGGAGCCTCAGCTGAGGAAACGCCTCCATGAGATCCAGCTACAAAGCATTTCTTTTCAATTAGTGATCAATGGGGGAGGGCCCAGTTCATTGCAGGTGGTGCCATCCCAGGACTGGTGGTCCTGGGTTCTATAAGGAAGCAGGCTGAGCAAACCATGAGGAGCAAGCCACTAAGCAGCATTCCTCCATGGCCTATGCATTAGCTCCTGCCTCCAGGTTCCAGCACTGGGTTCCTTTGCTGACTTCCTCCAATGATAGATTGTAATGATCTGGAAGTGTAAGCTAAATAAACCCTTTCCTCCCAAAACTTGCCTTTTGGTCATAGTGCTTTGTCACAGTAATAGAAACCCTAAGACAATGAGCTAGCCATCTTTGATAGAAAAAAATTTTTTTCTCATATTTTAAGGGTAGGACAACCTAGGCCCAGAGGGCTCTAAGGAATTTATGTCCACAGGAGGAAACAAGGCAGGGGTTTTGAACTCAGGAAGCTTCACCCAAAAGCCTCTACATATAGCTGCTAAAATGCAGAGCAAGAAGCAAAATTCTGTTCTACCATAGGGGTAACAGTCTTGAAACAGGTGTTTGCTCTTGTCTTGCTTCTACTGGCTGCTTCTGGCTAGAATGGCACAGCAGAATCCCTGAGCACTGTGTGTTGGCCTCTATCTTATGCAGAAGTCTTTTCTGTCCCAGCTGGGATGAGAAGGGGCAGGAGGTTCGTGCCAAGAAAATCATACTTTAGAAAAGTAAGATGGTCTTGAGATGCCCCGAGGAACTGTGGAGGAAACTGCATTCGCCAGCACCAGCTCAAGCAGAATCATGGAAACGGCAATGCTGCTCTCCTGCAGCCATTCTGCCCATGAGAGTTCTCCTTTGAAGGAGACTCTTCTGAAGTCGAACGGTTTCTTCCAGAATAGCCAGCAGCAGCCCAGAATCATGTTTCATGACTGGAATGTACTGCCCCCGTTAAGACACTGGGGAAAAACAGTTCAGAGTTTTGAAAGACAGCTGGTCTCCATCATTGCAAACCTGCCTGGGCTGGTACACCTCGAAGCTTTTGCAAGAATGTGAGGATAGTGCATAGGTTCCTGTATAACAGTCTTTATTGTTATTATTGCTGGTTTTAGTCAGGATTTAGCTATGTAGGCCTGGCTGGCTTGGAACTTTCAGAGCAAGCTGGCCTCACACTCACAGAGATCTACCTGTATCTGCCTCTCTAATGCTGGAATTAAAAGCCTGTGTCACCACACCCAACCCTATAGGAGTCATTTCTAAATATAAACACTATTCTTAGGTTTGAGCACGGGGGGGGGGGGGGGGGGATTAAATTCATGTGATTGATAGTTTGAGGCCAGGCTGGGCTAACATAGGATCCAGTCTCAAACAACAACAGTAGAAACAAAAACATGCTGGGGGTTAGCTAGCAGCGCAGGAAAAAAAAAATGTAATAGCCTTGGCTGTCCTGGACTCTGCGAACCAGGCTCGCCAGAAACTCACAGAGATCTGCCTGTCTCTGCTTCCGGAGTGCTGGGATTAAAGGCGTGCACCACCATACCAGGCTCAAAAAACATTCTTAAAAGATTTACTTATTTTGTTCTTATTTTTCTTATGTGTATGTGTTTTTGTTTTTCTTATGTGTATGAATGTTGGCTTGGGTGTATGGATATATATGCTCTGACAGCCTTTAGTGCCTGAAGAGACCAGAAAAAGACACCAGCTCTCCTGGAACTGGAGTTACCAACAGTTGTGAACCACCATGTGGGTGCTGCTGGCCAAATTGGGATCCTCTGCAAGAGCATTCTTAGCCTCTTAACCGCTCTTCAGACCCACAAATGTCATGCCTAGAATCCCAGCACTAGAGAGGCTGAGGCAGAAGGATAATAAATTTGAGGGCAGCCTGGGCTACTTAATTAAGACTGTTTCTCAAAAACAATAAAATTCTTAGCCCACAGAGCATTCCAAAGAGGTCACAGATTGCACCTGGCTCTGCTCTGCTTAACTGTGGAGCCTGCTGTGTGCTAACAATTTTTATCTGATCACCATGTACCTCCCTTTCCTGACCTGGTGGGGGTGGGGGCCCGGTCTTGAGGTTTTACCCTGATTGCAAACTAACAGGTTAGCATGGATGGAACCCAGAGAGACCTCACACGGTGAAACCATTGCTTGACTGCCAGCATTTTTGCACAGGTTCCTGAGCACAGTGCCCACCAGGAAGGGGATGGGTTCGGCAGCTTCAGAGGAGGGGAACCTGGAGCTGAGTTAGCCCGGTTCTGCCCTCTAGAAGGGGTCATATTCAGGTGTGCAGCTGCGGTCTCTTTGCCCTGTATGCAATGTTGAAACCACGTCTTCTGTGATTTAAGAGGGTCAGTGGCATTTTCCTTCTGCAGCAAGGACAGTTTTCAGGAATGTCTTGGCTTTCTTTTTGTGAACCTGTGCAAGGAACTCCATGACTGCTGGGAAGCCTGTCACGTGGCCTGCCTCACCTCAGTTGCAGACAGCTGAGCCTCCAAGTGGACTCCAAGATCACATTACTTCCGCTCTACCACAGTCACTCCAAGCCCCACCACACTTCGTGAGCCCTTTTTCTTGTCCTTCCTGTTTGGACACTTTAGGATGCAGATGGCAG